TTTTTTTTTTTTTTTTTTTTTTTTTTTGCTTTGTTATTTTCTAAAGTTGCTGTTCTTCAACTTTCTGCCATAGCTTAATCATCCCAGATGATCTTACAGGAGCTCTTAGGGTTTGGGGTGTATAGTACGGATTTCAGGGCGTCAGTTTCAATAGATTTAAAGAAGAAGTTAGTTCGAAAAGCAAACAAACTAATAAATCCGTTTAAAACGGATATGGCCGTCCTACCAACTGTTATCAATGGGTTTGTCTCATTTTAGTCATTCAGAACTCAGTTAATATGGTGAACGCTGCTCGGTATCACTCGTAGTACATTACGGTAGCTTATTTTGACTCTCCTAAATTGAATTTAGACACTCGTTCTCATATTCATTTTTATGGGGTTCTCGGTTGACTCGGGAACATCTCGACTGGATGTTCAGTTTGCGGGAAAGTAACATGAAGTCTTACGAGGAGTCTGGTAAACGTGAAGAAAGTCCTGCAGCTCGAAAACGTGAATTTCGTCACTCGTCATCAAGGTTTGCTTAAGAAATATGGTAAAGGTAAAAGTGACTGAAGAAAAATAGAACGACAGTAAGTATTCTTTCCGTCTTTCTCAAGTTGTTACCTGGCTTATTATAATTGTTGTTTAGGTTTGTAATAGTCAAAAATTCGGACACCCGTTCTATAGCCTACTGTCGTTACAGTTTGGATATTGAAAGTGGTTTAGCTGTATTGCGCTGGTAAATATTTTCCTGTCACCGAAGAAAGTTTGGTAAACTAAATTGAGTTGTAGTTGAATAGGTTGTTGGTTCCATTCTGCTTGATGGTTGCAGTTTTGTTCTCTTATCTTACTGTTTGAGAAGCTCTGCGATAAAAAAATCTGAGGTTACTACTGTTTTAATCCTCTGCGTTTTCAGCAATTGCCCTTAATTTATATTTATTTAGCAGAGACATTCAGGTTGAGGAAGGCTATCAGTCTAAAGGCATTGGCAGTGCTCTCTTGTCGGTCATCTTTACTTTAGCTAAGAAGTTTGTTCCGTCCAATACCTTTTGATTTCCTTTCTTCGTTCTTCTATATCAACTAAAGTTGCTTAAATCCTACTAAGAATTCTAGTAAGTCGGTGGTCCTCCGCTGGATTTACCTCATGGTTGCTGCTTTTTAGGATTTCAATGGACAAGGTAGCTGTGCAGATTGCTTTTTCATACGACAGAGCCCTGAAATTCTTCCACAAAAACGGGTTTGTCACAGAGGGTCTACGTAATGATGGAGAGGAAATAGTAAATTTCGTTTTTCTAGCAAAATATTGTTTGTAGCTTGCGAGGTTTGTCATGTAACGATTTTCTTGCCCATGGCCTTATACAGTTAGTATTCGCGTGATGTACATATTTGTAGATTTCCACTACCTTTTTGCTTAAGATTTCATATCATTGCATCAATTTTTGTATCTGCACACAAGTCATTTACTGTGGTTTGGGTTTATGTGGGATTGGATTGGTGAGGTTACAGCACAATTTCTTTGAACATCTTTTAGTCTCGGGATTATATTCTTATCTTTTTTCCCTGTTTAAACAGCATAAGCCTAAAGGATCATTCTAGGTTTACCCCCTAGCGGTAGAGAAATGACGTTTTGGTGGAAAATGACTTAAAATGTGATTGTAGGGATTGCATATACATATATATAGCTTTTTCTTTTTGATTCCAAAATCACTTTTTTACGTCATAGTCAAATCATAATTCTATAAGAAGGGAAACCTTCGGTAGTACCTTAAGAAAGTCAGAAAATCGTAGCTTACTGGGATTGCACGTCATATTCCGTTGATCTTGTTGTGTAGCGAAATTAGTGATTTTTTTTAAAGAGGATTCTATGTGGCAGATGATTCATAGATACCCTTTAAGGTGATCCCAAAAAGTATTTCTTGGAAATTGTGCTATAATCTGATTGGTGCTTGCACTTTCCAATCAAACACATACTCGTAGAGTTGCTCCAAACCTGGAATATGAAAACTTGAAAAGCCTGAAGTCGCAATTGCTACAGAGTATTAATAATTGAACAGCCAAGTGAATATTTCTTACTAAGTGAATACTATGCTGCTAAATGCAAGAGAATTGTAATTTGGTGTGGCACTTCTGCACTACTCTTGTATTATCTGACCACCTAGAACACTATATTGAACACTGAATTTACTATGGTATTTGTGGTTGAATTCTCAGCAATCAAATCTTGTGATCGTTGAACAACTTTCGTTTTTTCCACTGATCGAGCTGAATAAGGTGTCTAAGCTTTACATTTCTAGAGGCTACTGTTAATTTCGTCGTTGGCATCTTTTAAATCCACAAAATAACGTCTAACTCTGAGCTTGAAAAACTGATTTTATAGCACGTTTGCCGCGAGATTTGTAGAAGTGTGTTTCTTTTTATTAGAGGAGATGGATATACTAGTATAAACATTTCAGAAACTCCAAAGTTTCCCGTCATTCAAGCACTTTCTACTTATTATTTCACTTAATCGTAAATCGGTTCTTTAGTTTGCAATAAGCGATCCTGAGACCGTAACCAATGTTGTGTTCGCAATCGTTCCTAGAAATTTTTGCTGCTGGGTAAGTTGCTCCGAACGCTGTTTAGTCACATGTGACAGTGCTAGACGAAAATATCATCGCATTTGGAAGATTGAACAGCAGCAGAATATTTTAGGAATTATTACGAAATTGATTTACACTATCTGAAATACTTTTCTGGAAGGAACAGCAGGTTTATGCGACACAAATTAGTTTTGCTATGTGAGGCAAGGAGTGGTAATGGAAAAGAAAAGCGGAGAGAACTGAAGACTTGGCTTCCAGATAAGCTATTTGGCGTAGGGAGAAGAGCAGGAAAAAGACGGGATCTTTCCGTCGGTGATGTAATCTCAACATTTTATTGATGTCCTTGCATTATTTAATGGTCTGCAAAAAATTTTGCCCGTAGCGCTGGGCTTTATTCCGTCCTGGCTTGCTGGCGCTGATGCAGTGGGTTATGGTAGCAAGTGAGAAGCGCTTTTTGTTGCATAGCTCTGGTTTGAAATGGATGGATGAAGCTGTACGTGTTTTAATGAAACGGTAGTCCTGGAGTCGAAGTGGCTCTAATGTTTTGTGACCTTGCTTTTTTTTCCTTTCATAAGGTGACGTAGAGAGTGAAGTAAGGGACAAGAAGATGACGAAGTTTGTGGAAGTAAAGAGGATGCGAACTATGTTCAAAGGGGACTTATAGAACTCGCTGAGAGCGTCATCTTAAGATCGGCTGAGAACAAAACGGATGGTTTGAAAACTGCCCTCGGCAGCTCGTCAAAAAAAAAAAACAATTTTCAATTTTTGCTTTTTATAGGCACCATTGAAGAATGGCTTGTACCTTTATTCCAGTCTTCTGCACTTCCTCTAGCACCTCCTTGACTGTTTTCACACATATGTGTATATCACACCTTCTATAAATAAAAAGCTATTATCAAAAACAAATTAAAAACAAAACAAGCGGAGAAAAAGCTATAGTGACGTAAAAATAAATGACAAAACATGAAAATAAAATGAAAATACCTGTCTGAGGGAAAAGAAAAGCACTTCTTACAACACATCACTGCAAAAAATAGAAACAAACAAAAATGAACATCATACAACAACCATACAACTTAAGACAACCTTTACTTTATAATAACAACTGAGAAGAAAAGACAACGGATGAAAAGGCCGTACCACCAAAAACTAAAGAAAATGCCACTCCTAATCTTTGGTTTCTATTTTCAGCTACGTTGCCCTCCTTCACCACTAATAATAAGGATGATAAAAACCTAGCAACAAAAACCCGTCCAATGGACAAACCCTTTGTGGGGTCTTTACTTTTCCGATTAATTGCTCAATATATGCATCCCAAAGATACCGAAATTAGTCTGCTTTCAAGCAGTAATTACCTGCCTTTTAATAATAGTAACAAAGGCGACAGTAAAAAAAGAAAACGAAGAAAACATATGAAAACAGCCTATCAAAAAAAAAAGTTGCGGGAAATTGTATAAATCTGAACCGTTTAGTAGATTTCCAAAATAAAACCAAATAAAAATGGCGAAAGACAAGGTGAGAAAAATAGATAAGGTTGAATAAAAAACAGAAGCAACAGAAATAACAACACCCTTAATAATGATGCTAATATTATAGTATACGTAATAATAGTAGAGGGAAAAGTAATATGATGCTCAAGAACTACAGAAGTTACAGTAAGGGATTTTATGTATATTCAAACAAAAAATATAAAAGCTAAGAAAAAAGTAAAGGCGATTTAGATTAACAGTCAGCGAAGTCACTCAAACAAAAGAAAAAAACAAAGGCAACCAATTAGCGAATAATATATTCAAATGGAAAACATTTTAGAAAAATGTTAAAAACAAAAGATATCATATAAAGACAATTGGTACCACTAACACTGAAATGGACAGTAAAAATAAAAATTAATATTAGTAACCAATTTGATTTGCCTCAACTATTGAAAGCTGTCGGTATCTGGTGTCACTGAAAAGTATCAACAGTTAGCATTCATCACTTTCAACCGAACTACTTAGTTCTCTAGAACCGAAACTGCGATGATCCGATGCTTGTGGAAGCTTTGGGGAGTTACCAGTTTCTATTAATGGCGCTAACGACGGACGTTGTTTTAGACTTGGACACCCCTACAATACACAATTCCTCAGTTTTCCAATCCCTTTTTTTTCCTTTCCAAAAACCAAAAAAGTGCACATTTCAGTTATATGTCATAAAAGCGAAAATATTAGTATAAATGGACTGTCGATAATACCTTCTTGTCAAAATCAAAGAAATGTCTGAATGTAAATTCATAAAATGCGGGACTAGATGAATCCAATGTTTTACTGCCGTTTTTTACACCTAAAGTATCTGAAGACTGGCCCAGTTCAAAATCAAAGGTCTCAAAATTTGACGTATCTTCGGCATGCTTAACGCACGGTATATATGCTGCGCGTGAAGAACCGATGGTAGCGAAATTGATACCCTAAAAAAAAGAAAATTCAGTCGCGTAGTTTTCACCAACATTGCGCATAGCAGTATATTTGTTATGGCAACGTATCACTTCCTCATTTAAACATCTAACTAACTCTTAATTGAATAAGGGATTTTAAAATAAAGCCAAAGCAAAGTTTTTTCAGCAATTTACATATAAGAAAGTTGACAGTTTACCTTAAACCAACTATGCGCCTTAACTTCTTTGGCGCCTGATTTACGCCCTAAACGGTTCTCTTGTTCGGAGATCAATTTCTTCATAATATCAATGCACTCTCGAGAAAGCTTTTGAGCTCTAGTGTTGTTCAAATCAAGGTATCTATCCCAATGCTTGATCTAAAACTTTAAATCGATTGAATCTATATTTCTCCACAACAGAAAATTTCTGGTAAAAATCACGCGCAAAACCTTAGCCTGCGTCGATTGACGATCGTTTGACATGAACGGGGGCCTGCCAATTACCATTTCGTATAATATAACTCCTACAGACCACCAGTCGCAAAGTTGCGTATGGCCTAAAAAATGTCTTCTTCCTCGTATCAGGGGGCAAAAGAATGATTCATCGGTCTAAAATTGGTATCAAAGACTACTTGCTTAGGTAAAGCCAAAATAACATACCAGTTTTCCTAATCACTTCAGGTGCCATATAATTGTCCGTTCCTACCAGTGAATCAGAATTATGCTTTTTAGTGTGATTCCTTATTAATAAAACTTTACTTTTACTGTTTTCGCGCAAATCTTGTTCCTCCCTTCCAACCTGAAACAGGAAGTAAACTGTGAAAACGACTGTTTAAAAATCCATTTACACGAAAGCATCAACCACACTGCCTGACAAACCTCGTCATTATCTATATCATAATACTTTTTGTCGTGTGTCCATCGCAGACCAGTGCAAAGTCCAAAATCAGTAAGTTTTAGATGACCCTCTTCATCAATAAGAATATTATCCGGTTTGATGTCACGATGAATGAATCCTAAGCTATGGACGTAACCGATAGCACACGTTAACTCAGCTATATAAAACCTAAAGCAAAAAGAGATGGAAATTATTGCATAGTACGAAAATAAGTAGTAACGAGGAAGAATAATAATCTTAGTTCGAATTCAATTGGAAAACTTACTTAGCCAGGTCTTCTTCGAAAAAGCCTTTTAGTATTAAAAGCTGCATCATATCACCTCCTGGTACATACTCCATAACAAAATACAGACACTGACTGTCCTGAAACAAAACTGCTTTGACTCTTCCACTCAAACTACGCAGCACACCTGACTGTCTTACAGGCCACTTTTAAGCAGTACCGTTAATATAACGCAAAAACATACAGAGCTTAGAAGATTGTTACAAAGGTTCCGCCAGCTAACCTGGAAAGAAAAGTAGAGTTTTACAATCCACCGACTGTCCGCCAGTGCCAGTATGTCGCGTTCAGCTTTTACATGCGCAGCCTGATTTTTCTTGATAACATCTTTTTTGTTCAACGTTTTCATGGCATAGACCTGGCCTGTATCCTTCTAGAAATAAAAAAAAAACGACAGTTATAATAAGCATCAAACCGAGATATGCTCAACAGTTCCATTTTGTAAACTGTTTGAAAGTAACCTTCTTACAGCAAATATATAAGTATAAGAAACAAAGAAAAGAATGGATATTTGGTCAACGAAACACTGACCTTTCTGACTAGTGAAACAACTCCAAATGCACCAAATCCAATATGCTTTACTATTTCAAACATATCCTTATTCATCTTTTGACGACGTAAACGTAAATACCGTGATTCCTTTTGTATCAGAATTTTCATGAGTTGCTCCCTCAAGACTTTTGGTAAATTTGCCGACTCCATTTCTTTCACCAACTTAAGTTTGTACAATTAGATGTATGTTCAGAATACGTAAAACAACCGGAAACAGCAAACGGAACAGCCCCAACCTGATGTGCTCTTTGCTGCCTCTCTTTACACTGCTGTATAAGTCGTTCAACATGCTGTTCCATAAAAAAACAGAATAGACGTGGCCGGCACGGTTTAATCTCGGACTCGAAGGTGTTGCTGTGAATCTTCTTAGATATACTTTCCGGTAACGGAGATACACATCGTTTCACACCTTCTACAGTTGTCAACCTGAATTAAACAAGCGTTAAGAAAAAGCAAAAAGAAACAGAAGAAAAAAAACAATGAAAAATCTTGCCAGATTTTTCCCCAAGAATTATTCTTAACAACGCAATAAAATTTCCAATGATGGAAACATACATATTAGGTTCCATCATTTTGGAAGGTCCATCGGATAATGCACTGTTTGCTGAATTCAGTGATAATGAATGATTTCCAAGCGGCAACTTATCAAAATGCATCAACGGATCGTGCACTACAATTCCATTTCTTTTCGTTAACCTTTTCTGGAACTAAAATCAAATTTTAATTCAGTCAACTATAGATCATTGATCGATATAAAGCAGAATGTGAAAAAAAACAAACTTCAACAAAATCCGAACTATCAGAAGGAATATCATGATTTAAATATACAGGTTGAGTTTGCGTTTCCATAATGTTGCTGGAATTAGAGTGTAATGAATACGGTTCACAGAAATCTTCTACATTATTAAAACGACGAATGTTCCGCCGATTACCTTCCGTTGCCTGTAAAATGTTAGCTTTGTAAACATGAAGCAAAAATAAAAAAAGAAAACAAAAAGGAAGTCCAGTGCAGTAACAGAGAAATAAAAATCAGCAGTACATTGTTTAGTAGCTAATTTAACAAAATTTTAAAACCCAATCGGCCTATAAATCTTATTATAGTCAATTTATAAATCCTTTATCAAGTTCAAAACCATTTCAAGAAACCCTAAAATAATCTTTTATCTTAGATGGAGAAGATCCGTAGCGCTCTAAACTAGCGAGTTTTCCACTCTAAAAAGCAAATCGAGCTCTCTCCAACAGTTTCATCTTCACAAGTGAAAGCAACTTCAACTAACTTAAAGATAAGAGCCGATTTTTTGCATATTGTAAAGCATTTTAAGCATTAATTACATCAAACCTATAAATGTTTGGTAATTTTCTACGGTAAAAAGATTGAAAAACTGAAGATGAAACTCGACCGCAATACCTTTCCAAAGAACCCTTTTTATTCCAGGTATCACTTAATAACACACAACTAGCTATTATAGAAATTATTAGTCATTTCGTACAGTCATCTTTTACTTCCAAATCTTCACCTCATCAGGTCATTCAGTAGTTCTCATAACAAAAAAGTCTTTAGTGCTGCAATTGTAATGCTCTATGCTTCAACCTTAATCCCAGTTTTTTTGTACTGTACACACTGTCAAACCTTCCACACTGATTTTTGCACCTTATCATTTGTTTAGTTGGAATGATACGAATTATCTTGACCAAATAATAAGTAGTCATTTCAACGTTGATAGCATAACAAATTTTTTACTATCCAGGTCCTGAACCCCTCCCAGCACTACAGTGCGTAAAAGCGATTGGAAAATGAAAGAAAACCAGGAATTTCATTATTACGTTGAAGGCAAAAAAAAATTAAAGTTAAGTATTAAACAAAGCTTACAGCACCCGGGGGGGAAAAGAAGGGACCGCTGAAAGTTGTCAAAATAAAAAAAAAAAGAAGACCCTGGTGTTAAGAAGCTGAAAGAACTGAATAAACAGAAATAACCTTAAGAAATACAAGTCTGGGATTTGAAAAGCAAAAAGCAAAATTGACAAAGTGAAACACGTGTAAAAAATTGGACGATACGAAATCGCCAAAACAAGTACCAAATTATACAGAAATCTAACTACGGAAATGGTGATTTGAAGTCAATCCCACAAAATCTAAATCTCACCTCATTTCCCACATGATTTGTCAATAAAATAATACTTGCGAAAACTATCAAGATTTTGTTAAACTTCCTCGTTATAATCGACTGTCACTTACTAAGTCCGTGGTTACTATCTTACCAGCACTTAAAAACTACTAAAAGTATGAAAAAAGCCGATGAAAGTTTCAGTATAACAGAGTTCCATATGTTTTCTTCTTTCAAGCAGTGAAAAGTTACTCAGGTTTCAAATCAAATTCTTAGAAGTGACGAGCCTCACGAAACGATCTAGTGTTAAAGAAAAACCTGTTAGAATCGAAAAGTTCAAAATGAAATACATTAGACTGTAAAACTGTAAAAAACCAAAATTACCATTTGCGACGTATCAAAATTCATTTGATATCGTAAGTTATGAGATCTTTCCATATGGCTCTCAAAATGTGGATATGATTCCATAATATTAGTTAAACTATTTTCCTTCAGGTAAGATTTTGATCTGTAATCGTATGTGTGAGGGTGTAACCCAAAAACTACAAAATCTGACTTTTCCCTATGAATAGGTTTAAATACATTTTTTCGTAAGCAGGCTGACAAAAAAAGAACTTACACGACAAGACGTTCACAGTTGATGTTCAAACCCGACCGTTCGCCGGTTCCTAGACCTGAAGTTACCGAATAAGTTGGCTCCAACTTACTGGAACAGTTCAAAGGTACACAGTTATAGTGATGTGGGTGCTGCATACGAGAACTGCATGGAAAAACAGGAAAATGATCATAACCATTCGATCTTTGAAAGACCATATTCCTAGAACTCAGCTTCATTATTTTTCAGATTAAAAATACTAAAATACTTTGAAATACATCTAGTATTAAAATCTTTTTATAAATATTTTCAAGATGCCTACTGATTGCTGTGACCCCAACAATAATCACTGTTCTGCTGAAAGTTCACTTGTCTGGGTGGACTAGAAGAATGTACACTGCAAAGTGATAAAAGAATAAAAGTGTCCAACAGTATGAGACAAATTTTTTAAAACTTTTGATAAAAGCACTATATGTGTTATTATTTTCATTTTTCAACCAAAAATTCAGTGAAGAGGAAATAAAAATGTTACTTGAAGGAGACTGGGCTCACAACTCTCGCATGAGGACTTTCCGATCGACTTGAACAACCGTCATCAATATTGCGAAGAGGTGCCGAAATTTGTGAATAGCCACGTGAAAGATTTGTTGCATTGTTTTCCAGAGATACATTATTAGAACCAAGTGCCTGTTTTGAACTACCATAAAATACACCATTATTTCCTATTGAAATATTTTCTGATGTCATAGCTAATGACGATGGAGGGGAATATCGCGATGTGATGCCATTTTGCATCTAAGGTATGCGATCAGGTTAATAGCGTATACTACCAATCAAGAAAGCTCAAAAATGATTGAAAGAATTCAGCGCAAGTGCGAAAAAAA